CGTTGTGTTCAACGAGGAGGCAGCTTGGGACTGGCACAGTCCGAGCACGGGGGAAGCGGGAGGCTTCACCAACACCTTCGTCATCAAGCACTTGGTCATCCACGGCGGTGGAGACGCTGCAGAACAGGTGCCACGCACTCCGGGAGGAGCGCCGAGCACTCCGGCGGTAGAGTCGAGCACTTCTGGGGCAGTGCCGAGCACTTCAGAGGGATGCCGAGCACTTTCCGGGAGGAGTGTCGAGCACCTACGGAGGAATGCCAAGCACGCAGAGTGGATCCAGGAGGTTCTCTGATGGCGGCGACCACTTCAGACGGGTACCGAGCACTCCCGTGGCGGAGCCAAGACGCGTCTTCTTCTTGTGGTTTCGACCACTCCCAAGATCGAGGTGGGCACTCCTACGGTGTGGCGAACACCTGCAGGAGTTATGACAAGCGATCCGAAGCGATGGAAAGCACTTCAGTGCTATGCGGTGGCACCGGCGGAAGAAGGAACTTCATCACCCCCGATCGAGTTCGCCTCACCTCCAAGTGACATCACTGAGTTTGTGGACGCCTACCACGAAGGTGAGGAGTTGAGGTTCCGCAGGCTAGACGACATCGTCGGCGGCACAGGTCCCTCAGGTATGGTGGGTAGGCTGCTCAACGACGCAGAAAGCCGCTACGTCGGTCGCGGAGGAACCACCCCGTTCGCGCTAGCCGAGCGCGATGGAAAGCTGGCGACGGACAATCTTTGGAGGAGATGAAGGCGATCAAGAAAAACGAGACTTGGCAGCTCGTCGATCCACCTCCAGGATGCCGTCCGATCAGCCTAAAGTGGGTGTACAAAGTCAAAAGGGACGAGCTCGGCGCCATTGTCAAGTACAAGGCGCGCCTCGTCGCCCGAGGCTTTGTCCAGCGTGAGGGCATCGACTTCAAGGAGGTCTTTGCACCAGTAGCACTCATGGAGTCGGTCCGTTTGCTATTTGCTTTGGCGGCAGCAAAGGACTAGCGCGTCCATCACTTGGACGTTAAATCGGCCTTCCTCAACGGCGAGCTGGCAGAAACGGTCTTCGTCAGGCAACCTCCAGGGTTCGTTGTCAAGGGAGAGGAGCACAGGGTGCTCCGACTGCGCAAAGCGCTCTACGGGCTAAGGCAAGCCCCTCGAGCATGGAACGCCAAGCTTGACACCACACTGGGCGAGCTTGGGTTTTAGAGAGGCAGAACCGAAAGACGCGCGCTCTACACGCGACGACGGGGGAAGGAAGAACTCGTGGTCGGCGTGTATGTGGATGACTTAATCGTCACCGGCGCGTGCACGGAGGATATCAACAGCTTCAAGCAAGAGATGGCAGCTCGTTTCCGAATGAGCGATCTCGGCGCTCTCTCCTACTACCTCGGCATCGAGGTAAGACAGGGGAAGGAGGAACTCACGCTCGGGCAAAGCGCGTATGCCTCCAAGCTGTTGGAGAGGAGCGGCATGGTGGAGTCAAGCCATGCGTGACTCGATGGAGGAGCGGCTCAAGTTGAAGGCGACGAAGGGCGACCGCTGGGCGAAAGTAGATGCAACACTCTACCGGAGCATCGTCGATGGTCTGCGCTACCTAGTCCACACAAGGCTGGACATTGCGTTAAATCGTGGGCTCGTCGGTCGCTTCATGGAGGATCCCAGAGGATCACCTTTGGGCTACGGTGAAGCGGCTACTACGCTACGTCAAGGGGACGGTGAATCATGGAATCATCTTCCCAAAGACCGGGGAAGTAGGTGCAGACTCACGGTGTTGAGCCGATGCGAACATGGCGGGGACATCGATGGACGACGGAGCACCTCTGGCGTACTTCGTCTTCCTCGGGTCAGCCCCAATTTCATGGTTGTCGCTGAAACGAGAAGGTGGTAGCGCTATCTACGTCGCGAAGCGTAGTACGAAGCGGCGCCCAATGGCGTGCCAAGTTGTTGTTGTCACAAAAGACGGCTGCCGGGCGAAGCTAACCGGCGTGGAAGCTCACCCACCAAGAGCGATGGTGGACAACCAGCCCGCCATCGCCCTCGTGAAGAATCCGGTTCGCACGACCGAGTAAACACATCGACGTGAAGTTCCACTTCCTCGGGGACCGTGTTGATGAAGGGCGATCGTCATCGAGTTAAATCGAAGCGCTTTCGGCGGCTCGCGGACGTCCTCACCAAGCCGCTTTCAGACGACTTCGACTCATGGAGTGAAGGAGATGATCGGCATGGAGGGGTACAAGGGTTAGCGATGAGGATTAGGGGAAGATTGTTAGCTAATCTCGCCACCTTATGTGAACACAATGAGAGGAAGGCGGCGGCGACTTAGCATTTGCTCTGTGTGTGTGAACACAACAAGGGAAGGCGGCGCCGACTTTGCCCCTATTTGTGACACAAGAGGCAGCTGCAGGTGCAGGCGCCGACGGCTCACCTACAAGATGTGAGGAAATGCGGTGGCGGTAGCAGAGTCAACCTGTGCCGGGTTATCTAGTTACTATGCCAGCTTGGGCGCTGCACATGGACTAGATAGTTAGAGTTGTATAAATAGACATATATGGCAACTCAGTAAAGAGAGCTCAATCACACAGACAGGGCTTCGGCCAACGCTGTTGTCTTGTATTGTGCGTGCTTACTCTATTCTCCCTTCTTCTTCTAGCTCAATCCGTAGTATGTGGGTACGGACAACGCCGGCACGTGGTCTGCACGGCTAGTGTGTGCTCGGCAACACTAGCGCGTGCTCGGCGAGACCGACAAGTGCTCCACTCGCCTGAGCCGGTGCTTGGCAAGATTGGCTGAAGTGGTTCACTGTCGTGAGCCGATGATCCTGTGAGACCAACGGAGTGGTCTGGAGGCTATCTCGGTGGTCTGGAGGCTATCAGGTAGTGGTCTGGAGGCCTGGTCGGTGGTCTGGAGGCTATCTGTAGTGGTCTGGAGATCATCTCAGTGGTCGGGAGGCTAACTGTGGACCAACAACCTTGACGTAGACCACGAGTCGGGGAAAAGGAGCGCGAAGGCACTCCATTGAAGCGAACTGTGTAGTGAACAGTAGATACACATGTCATGACCCACTGAACCCACTTACTTTGAAAGCCTAGCTTCTCCATTAACTTTTTTAGAAATCCCCAATCAACTCGGTCATACGCCTTCGACAAGTCCAACTTGTAAGCACAAAATTCCTTCCCATAATCTCTTTGTATGGCATGAATACATTCAAAGGCAATTAAAGCGTTATCCGTGATCAGCCTGCCGGGCACAAAAGCACTCTGCTCCTTTGAAATAATTTGGTCAAGGAAAGGGAACGGTTCACCAGACACTTCGAAATGATCTTGTAGATTACGTTGTACAGACTTATAGGACGAAAGTCTTTGAGTTCCTCCGGATTTGCACCCTTTGGAATAAGAACAATCGTAGTATCATTGATTCCCTCTGGTAGGACGCCATCCACAAAAAATTTCTGTACAGCAGCCACCACATCTTCTTTGAGCACCTCCCAGTGACGCTGATAGAAACGTGCAGGGAACCCATCTGGCCCCGGCGCTTTCAATGGCCCCATCTGGAAAAGAGCATCTGAAATCTCCTCAACAGAGAACTGCTGGCACAGAGCTTCATTCATTTCATCTGAGATTTTCCTATCCATCATATCGACAAGTTCAGTAGGATCCACTGACGGGTCTGCAGAAAAAAGATCACTGAAATACTCAACAGACATATCCTGCATTAGCTTTGGATCTTCACACCATTCATTCTCCGGGGTCTTGAGCTTTGTAATTTTATTCTTCCTCGCCCTCCACGCTGCCTGTCTATGGAAGTAGCGAGTATTACGATCGCCCTCCCTAAGCCAAGCGATACGGGAACGCAGCAGCCACATCATCTCTTCCCGGTACAGCAACTCGTCCATCCGATCGGTGACCGTTCGAATATCTGATCTGGAGACCTGCGGATCATCCTTCATGGTTTCCAGCTTGTCCCGCAGCCCATCCAGTTCCTTAGTGACAGCCCCAAAGTTTTCCTTGCTCCAAGCCCTTAGCGCACGCTGCACATGTTTCAGAGCACAGGCAATACCACCCAGCCCCTCTCTACTAGGAGCAGAACACCATGCCTCTTTGATTTCCAGGGCCAAGGACTCTAGACGTTCCCACATGATCTCATAACGAAAAATCCTCGGCTTGTGCCTTTCCCAACTCTCCTTTTTTATCTCCAGCATCAAAGGACAATGGTCAGATCGTGAAGACACAAGGTGGTGCAATGTTTCGTCACTGAACAAATCCCTCCATCTTGTATCCGCCACTGCCCTGTCTAAGCGTACTTTCACATTCGCATTACCATCCCTTCCATTATCATAAGTGTACGGTAAGCCGACAAAACCCAGATCCACCGAACCACAGTCTGCCAACACATCCCGAAAAGCAGCCATCTGCCGCTCAGGTCGTTGACACGCTGAAAAATGCTCATACCCCGACATGGCCTCGTTGAAATCACCAATGAGAAGCCATGGCTCCATCGACGCCTCATGAAAGCGTCGGATCAGCTCCCACATCAAGTGTCTGTCTTCCGTGCGTGGTTCACCATATACGAACGTGATCCTGAACCAAGGAGATGTCCCAGACTCGCGGACATGAACATCAATGACACGTCTGTGCTTCTCAATTAGCGAGACCTCAACATCTTCGTGCCAGAACAAAGCCAAACCACCACCACCAGTACTTGAACTATCCACCGCAATACAATTTTTCAAGCCTAGACGCCATCTCAAATTTGCAGCACGGGCAGCTGACATTCTCGTCTCCGATAAGAACACCAGGCGGGGACTTCTAGCTCCTACAAGAGCAATAAGTTCTTGAACTGTCCGAGGGAGCCCCAACCCTCGGCAGTTCCAACTTAGAAGATTCATTGCTCCTGACGGGCCTCGCCTTGAGGACCCGTCAGGTTGAGAGACAACTGATCACCATCAACTCCCTTCCTCCGCTTGCAAGAATCATCCTGCACCTCTGAGTTTGCACTGAGATCTTGATTTATCACATTTATCTCCAATTCACGACGCTTGCCAAGTATACCCAGGCTCTGTTTAACGAGAGCAGCATTCTACTGAACAATTTCCCGCAGCTCGGGTTCAAGATGGTCCCTCCGACAAACTGCGACAAGTCGCTCAGCCTCACCTGCAGACATAGTAGGAAACTCAGCTCGCACCTTTCGGATCTCATCTGAAACCGTGTCCAGACCCACAGCAGCCCCGGCCACTGCTCCCGCCGGCATCAGAAATGTATTGTCGGACGAGGAATAGTGCCGTACTTTGAATTTTCGCTGACTTTTTGGACGCTTGGATTCTGCCATCCGGTCTCCCACTCCCTAGCGACACCACGCACCGCCTCGGCCACCGCTTTGTGAAGGACAGATTTAACCGGGGCCTGAGGTTCAAGTCCATTGTCACCCACTTCCTCACCATGGCCTCGTTCGGCTTGCTGAAACTTGGCTGAATTGACTGAAAAATATTGTTCTGGTTGAATTGTTGTGAGAGAAAAACACTGTTCCAGCTGAAAAAATAAGTTGAATAGTGTGGATTATAAGGTAAGCCGAACGGGGCCCATGTCTACAACCTGCAGGGACCTGCAAACAGCCCTGAAACACCAGAGGAGGTATTACCGGGGGAGTATCCTGGACCCCCAAGGTGAGTACCTTGCGAGCAATATCGTTTGCCGCATCAGCTCCAGCTAGACCTCCCCCTGTATTGGCGTCAGGAGCAGCAAGCTTGCTAGCTCCACGCTGCTCCTTCTCCTTGTTCACCTCACCTCCTTTCCCATGACGTTCACCCTGTCTCCTATCATCGCCCTGGTCATCAAAATTCAGACTCTTTTTGGCCAATGCATTCTGACGCTCCGGGGTCAGAGCCACAAATTTCTTCTTCGGGGACGCACGAAGGTGCAGCCCAAACCTCACTTTCTGCTCTTTTTTTCGGGAGCAAGCAGTCCTTCTCCACATGCCCCACATGACCACAATATCTGCAAAATTTTGGAATTCTCTCATACTTGACATGGAGACGAAGCATATCTCCAGTTTTCTCATCTTGCACCTTCAGCCACCTCGTCAAGGGTTTATCCACAGACATGAGAACCCTGATACGCATATGGTCATCCCAAAACCGCCCTTTCGAGTCTTTGCCTACTACCACCACTTTACCAACATTACTCCCAAGAATATGGCCTGTCCCCTCATTCATCAGATTGAGAGGCATGTCCTCAATTCGTATCCAGATTGGCATCAAATTTAAAACAACATCCGATGGACGAAGCCATCATAAGCAGCAACGAGAAGAGGATCACCACGGTAGATCCATGGCCCCCCTTGCAGCACATAGTTCTTGTCTCCATCCGATCTCAACTCAATAAGGAACCGATTGTCCCTTAGCCTCTTGATATCAGGAGCGTAGTTTAAACGCCAGGCATTCTTCATGGTCTTGAACAATCCCATGAAGCTATATCCACGTACCGTAAAGAAACGGACAATGATCACAAACTGGTCGGCTGCTGCGGCATCCGCCGCATCGAAGTCAAGGACGATCGGTGGTGAGTCGTTGTCCTCCTCCTCTGAAAGCAGCCCCTGATCTTCAATCTCATCCTCATCCATGGCGCCGCCAGCCTCCAATGGATCTTTGTCCGCCCGAGAGCCACTTCCTGTGTCCATCACTGCGGCCAAGGTCAAGAGAAATGCCTCCACAAACGAGCTCAGGTGGGAAAGATCACCAAAGATCCCCCTGATCACCCCCCTTCGTTGTGGAAGAGAGAAACTCGAAAACCTAGATGAGACCGCTGTGAGAGAAAGCTGCGAAAGAACCTTCGCTAAAACCCTTCTGTACCGAAGGGAGATACCCACACAAACAGATAACCCAGCTGGGAGGAGGCAGGAACTCCTCCTATCGTGAGGAAGACGGACTTCCTCGGCGCTCCCGTCAAACCCTAGTCGCCGCCATGCGTCGGCGCGAGAGGAGACGTAGCGCTATTTGTGTGCTTGTTGGTTCTAAAGGACTATGTCTTCTTGGTTTTGATGGGAAGCTAAGGGTTGGTTTTGTCATCCTAGTAATGACACAAAGAGGAACTGACGACAGTTTAACATAGGGATATGTTACCGCCTGTTTGGTTCCGCATATACGCGCATTACGACTGAGAGAAGCGATCGAATCCCGCCAAACTCCTCACATCGGTCGCACGTTTGATGGCCGCCCACCACGCAATACGCGAGGAAATGACTTGCTCAATCCGAAATCGCGAACGTAACTCCCGCGCCACATTGGTGTTATCGCGATCGCGCGTTCGAATCCCGCGGAACCAAACAGGGCCTTAAGCTCTCAAATTAAGGGCATAATAGTCCAGGTAACCACCAGGGCTCAGGGGCCACACCTATCGGACCCTCTAGCAAAGCAGGGTATGACTCGTAGGTCCGCAAACAGTCCTCTCCAGGGGAATTCCCAATGTCAAAACAGCAAGCTAAGAGAGATTACTTCTACTCGAGACTGAATAGGAAAATCGAGAGTGAATAGGGGGAGCAGGTTACTGCTCCCCACCGTAGGTTAAAAACACAAATCACCTAGGAGAATAATCACCTAGACCCTGTTTTGTTTTCAGAAATCAAGAGAAATTGAAAAGCAATATAATAATGAAATGACAATCACTTTCACTATATTGGTTTCAATTTGAGATCCAGATATTGGTTGTAATTTGGGATTCAAATAGTTTAGGAGAAACTCGAGGCTTGAGCAGTTGAGCGGTGGAGCGGAGCAAAGCGCTCCGTCCTCAGGCCCGGCTAAACAGCCCTCCCTCAGTGCCCTGCGTCTCTCTCCCTTCTTGAGCCACCAGCAAAGCCACTAGCCCGGAACCTGTTCACCCTCCCATCCATCATGTCCATGAAAGAAACTTTGTAATACTATGCTGAATTGACATAACTTGTCACAAAACTGCACTTCCTTTTAACTCTCAGACAACACATACAAATATTTTGAGCGTCATATCACCTTATGCCTGACCCAAACCAAGTTCATTTTTCATCGCAACAAAGAAAATGCCTCACCTTGGAACACTGTACTTTCAGATGGATTGGTTCGATTCCCGTACCTCAGAACAGTGTTCCACTTGCTTGTTGACCTCAAATGTCACTCTGCCATATCCAGGGTTGCACGTTTTGTTTTGTGATAATATAGGCCACGTATGTGCAGTTACATGCATTCGATTAAAATGTACCAAATGAATAAATTTATTTAGTTATTTAAATTTACTCAAACGAAACTGATACCGCTCTCCATGAAAATTCTGGACATCTGAATTTTCCCCCAGTGGCCTTCTCTAGACAAAAGGACCATGTCCCAAATAACAGTATCAGACGTGTAGGGCCAAGTTCCCGTGGAACCACTCAAATAATTATTTGGTTACCCTTCGCTTTCTAGCGGTAGTAGTGGTGCAGAACTTAACCCCACAAGATTAAGTTGTTACATAAACTGGGCTGCTTTGCCCAGCGGACCAACAAGTCTCAAGCCACCACAAGCAATGACGGCCATAAAAAGGTCAGACATACTGAACCCCGTCACCCTCGATCACCTCTCCAATGTGATAAGCAGGATTTGATCCATGGGTGTCTTCGATAATTCTGTCCGCTGACTCTCTGCTTACCACAAGAACCATTCCAATGCCCATATTGAATGTTCGCCGCATCTCTGCATCATCAATGTTTCCAACCTACAAAATATGTAATGATAGATGTTAAAGGTATCTAGATCTAGGTACAGAGTATCTATCCAGCACATGCAGATGCTGAAAATCATAGGTGAAGCTTGAGGATCATTTGTTCTTGCCTGTTGAAGCCAGTTGAAGACAGGAGGCACTTCCCATGACCCAGTAAAAATTTTTGCCCCAAGTCCAGAAGGAAACACTCTTGGGATATTGTCAGTAAAACCACCACCAGTGATGTGCGCTAGTCCTTTCACACCACCTTTCTTAATAATATCAAGCACCTGTTTCATTTCAAACAATTTAGATTAAAATTTCTGTAAAAGTCTGAAGGAAATATGAGATATAGATACACATAAGAAAACCCAACCTGCTTAACATAGATGACAGTTGGTGCCATTAGAGCTTCACCAACAGTAGTTGTTATGCCATCATTTCTTGGGAGCTGGTCACTCAAGGAAAGTCCGCTTTTCTCCAGTACCCTTGAACGTTAAGGGTTTTCAACCATCATTAACCAGATACATATAATGTTCAACAAATAAGAAGTAGGAAGAGATAAATAAATAAATTCATAAATCCAATGATATATTACAGATTTGAAACAAGTGGAATTCAAAAAGGTACAATACCTTCTAACAAGAGAGAACCCGTTAGAATGAACCCCACTGGAAGGAAGACCTATAAGGACATCTCCCTTAGCAATGTTTTTTCCATCAATGACTTTATCCTTCTTCACAACACCCACAGCAAAACCACTTAGATCATATTCACCCTCTGCATAGAAACCAGGCATTTCTGCTGTCTGTAATGATCAATTATTCAACAATCAGTTCAACTGTTTTTGGCTTTTCATAAAAAGTATACACATGCAATGCTTCATGTGGATTCATTTGAATTGATATGGAATTAAAGGTATAAAAAGCAAAAAAAAAAATATCAGAATATTTTGTTACACTGATATTATTAATCAACAAACATAAACATTGAAATCCATGCTTCTTAGTAAAGGGAGTTATCCAAATGATTCCAGATAAATAATCGAGCAAACAATTATAAGATAACAAACATGCAGCAATGGTAGACAGTCTGGCAGTTCGAGACATTTGATCCATTCATATACAGCTACTCAGCTTACAAGGATAATACTGCAATACCCCATGGTTGAATTGCTAAGTCATGGTAATTCAATTTCAGAAAATCTTACCTCCCCTCCTAGGAGAGCACAATCTGATTGTTCGCACCCATCCCTAATCCCCTTGATAACCTACAAAATTTACAAAGTACTTATGGGGAAATTGAGCAGACAACCATAAATAAGTATGAGCAGGACCAAAATTATTTTGTTTCAGTGAGAAAATAAAGTGTAAGTACCTTCTCTGCAAGATCAACATCAAGCCTGCTCGTTGCATAGTAATCTAGGAAGAACAATGGTTTTGCACCCAAAGTTACAATGTCATTGACGCTCATTGCCACCTGCCACAATGACCTAAATCCATTCAGTCAATTTGTGACAGAGCTAAGGAAAACAGCGTACATTGCAATTGCAACTAAGCTCATACCAGGTCAATGCCGATTGTATCATGAATACCAGTTTCAAAAGCAAGCTTCAGCTTTGTCCCCACCCCGTCTGTGCTAGCAACAAGATAATCGTCATCTGTTCAAATAAAGCAACAGGAAAGCAAAATTTCAGAATTGGCAGTGCAAGGAAGGATCACAAAATTGGTATATATTGCTGCATCAGGTGAGCAGTAGCAAATAAACCATCCAACTACATGGTGCATACTGCAGACTTCTACAATTGTCCCACTGACATATTTCTAAAAAAAGCGTTAGATTTGCACCTTTCACCAGTTAAAATTGATAATTAATTTACACTTAATCGACAACCATTATTCACCCAACTTATTTTTGCTTACTCCCTGCTTGAGTTGCAAATCGCGGCACATGTAGAAGAATCCTCAGGAAAAAAAAACGGCTGCTTCTTTTTACAAGAAAAAAAAATGGATAGGTTAGCAAAGATGAAGTGATGCTAGCGCATTACTGTAGGGGAAGAGACCGCCGAAGCCGCCAATCCCGGGTGCCATCCTGGCGATGCGGCGCACGAGCTCGGCGCCGGCGTCTATGTCCACGCCGGCATCCTTGTACGTTAGTCCCCCCTCCCCGCCAGAGCCAGTGCTCGAGCAGGATACGGACGCGCGCCGCATCCCCGCAGCACCCTGACAGAAGTGAAGGCGCTGCGTCTGTGGAGGACCCCAGCGAGCCGAGCGGGTGGAGGCGGCAGCCGCAGAGCTTGTCGGCGCTCGGAGAAAGTGGAGGAGACGGTCGGTGGTCATGGGTATGGGAGGGGGATGCGCGTCGAGAGGAGGCGGGGAGGGCGGGGGAAGGCGGCGGCGCCGAAAGCGATGCCTTTGTAGGCGCGAGTGGAGGTGTCGTGAGTAGGGATGCGGCGGCGGCGGCGGCGGCGCTGTGTTGGGCCTGGCTAAAAGCAAGTGGCAGGTCAGCCAACTGAAACGAAACAAGGTTCCTTCGACCCAATAATAATAAGATTTAAGGAAGAATTATGTATTTGGCATTAAAATAAATTGGTTTTTTATATTTGGTACTAGAAAATTTGAACTTTCTTATCTAGCTTCGAGTTAAAATTTTCTTTCATAAATGACACTGTCGTCAATTTAGATCAGTAACGGTGTCAAGTGGATAGCAAAATGACATAAATGTTCTTGATCGTAACAAAAGTCCATAGTGCTAAATAGGGAAAAAATAAATAGACAGGTTGTCAAATAAAAAAATCATAAATATCATAAATATACTTTGAACTAAAATGTGGATTTTTGATAATTGAATACTACAAATAAAGAATTAATAAATTTCAAATTGGTAATAGCAGTTACAGATTATGCCCCTCACTCTTTCTTTCATCTTGGCCACAGATCAAGGATGCATGGCTCAGAATGGCTGCTGGTTGAAATGCGTAACTTATATTTTCAAGGTATTTATCTTTTAGTTTTCTAAAAGAAAAGGAGAGTATATGTCGTCATCATAACACCATGGCTCAAGAGCAGAGCACATCGTGCATGGCTCGGCCGGCGTTTGACGCCGAGCGCACGTGGCCGACGGAGCACGCGGCCCGGGCAACGCGCGGAGCTCGCAGCCGGGGAGCTCGCAGCCTGGGCGCGCGGTGCGTGGAGCACGCTTTCTTCGCAGAGCTCGCCCGACGTGCTGCTGCTGCTCCTCGCCATTGGCGGCGCATGGAGCTCGGGGCCTGGGCGGCGCACCGAGGACACGGCCGGCGCGAAGCGGGTGAACTGGGCGGCACGCGGACGGCGTGGAGCGGGCGAGCTGGGGAGCCACCGCGGTGGCGCCCACATGGCCATGCAGCAAGCAGCACGTTGGTCTGGGAGCTCCGACGTCATGCAACACAATCATGCAGGCGAGCAGCAGCAGCACGCCGGCCGCGTCCTCCGCATGCCGCCTAGGCCACAAGCTGCTGCTGCGCGCAGGAGAGGCCGCGTTTTGCGCAGCACAGCCGCCGCTCGTCCCACGCCCGGAGCCACATGGCTGGCGTCGCATCGAGCTCTAGCGCCATCGCGTCATCTCTGAACAGAGAAGCTGCTCGACGACGTCCTCCTCGCCGAGACGCACGCTGTGCATGAACGGCCGTTGCGGAGCTCGCCCCATCGTGGCCTGGCACTAGCGTCGGTGGGCGAGACCGCCCCGCCGCGCCCCCCGCGCTGTGAGCTGGGGCCAGCGTTGGTGGGCGAGGGACTCCCAGAGCGTCCCCCGCGCCTCGATCTGCCGAGTCCGGCGCGAGCTCCGCCATGCGTCGGGGCACACAAGGCACGGCGATGAACACATAGGACATGGCATCGGGGCACACAGGGCACGACATCAGGGCACACAGAGCACGCATGAGGGCCGCCCATACCGCCACGCCTGTGCTTGTGTGTTGTGCGCTGCAGGAAGGACGCGCCCCCTTCGAACCGCTGCCGGTCACCACCATTGACGAGCACGCAGGAGCCGCGGGCACGAACCCGCCCGACCAGGTGCGGCCACGAGGAGGTGTGGTGCCAGGTGCGGCCACAAGGGAGCACCGGTGCCTCCGCGGCGAGGCCAGACACGGCCAGGAGGGAGCACTGGCGCTGCGCGGCGAGGTCTCGACGATGGTGGCGCCGGCGTCGGCGACAGGGCCCGCAATCTAGGCGGTTCTGCCTCCCGCCGAGCAGTTGAGCACGGACTGCTCCATGGCCAACAGCAGCGCGGCGTCTCAGGCCCCAGGGAACAACGCGCGGACACACCGGTGGCCAGCTCGCCTGAGACCTCGAGCACATCGTCCTACTTGATAGTCTAGCCCTGCACATATAGGTCCTCACCCTGCGGCCTCCTTGGGCCTCGGCTGCCCCTGGCTCTTGTCGATCTCCGGTCTCCACCACTTAGCACGTACGGGTGCTAGCTAGTGAGTGCCTCGTGCTTGACAACCGGAGCGGTGGCGCAGGCCAAGCGGAGTGGAGGTGCGAGCCCCGGTGCGGGTCTATGCGAACGGTGGCGCGGCGCGTGTGCGTTGGTCGACGTGTGCGCGTTGGCCCAGAGGGCGGCGGGCCGAACGGTAGCGCAGAGCGTGCGTCCAGCCGCGAGGAGCAGCAAGCTACGGTGGAGCACCTCACCGGCGGCCTGCACGCTTGCCTCGCGAGTCCGCGAGCTCCTGGGCAGGAGACGAGCCGCCAGGGGCATTTTGGTACTTCCAAAAGAAACATGACGGGTCAACGCAGTCAACTGACGAATGGATGCTTTAAATGGACGGTAGTGCCATTTACAGAATTTTTTTTAACTCGATGCCAAATAAGAAAATTCAAAATTTTTAGTGCTAAATAAAGAAGACTAATTTGTTTGAGTGCCAAATACATAATTGCCCCTAAGATTTAAGGGCCCTCTCCCGTAAGGCCATAATTTCGACAATCAACGCTCTTCTCGACCGTGAGAGCATCTTCATCCGTCTTGTTTTTAACTCTCTCCACCAACCAACAATTTATCTATATCTGATTTTGGCATTTTAAAGAGCCTGTTTCACTCTTTGTCCTTGGCGAGCGATAAACTAGCTAGGAATAAAGCATGATAGTATTTGGAGAGTTAATTGTAAAAAAGCTGTTGATGAGGGGGTTTTTTCCACCAAAATATATATTACTATCACTACGAAAGTTTATAAAGAGACTCTTAGAGTTACTCTAAGGTGCAAGCCAAAGTTGTCATCTTCACTTGGGGGCGAGTCTTGATGTGTTCTATCCCTCTGGTCGCCTACGATTGTTTCACCATCATGATGCTCGTCTACTTCCTCTGCCTCATGGTGAACAACCAACATTAACGTGGATCATCAACCTTTTCTAATCCCCTATGAAACCTTGGCACTGGTTGTGCTTGGCGAAAGTGAATAGGGGCGACGGAGGGAAGGGGGGCCAGGGGGGCAAACCCCCCCCCCCAACCTCCCTAGTGCCCCACTAGATAACCCATTAATTAGCTAATAAAAAATACTAATTAGTGTTGTATTTATTTATCATCTATTCTTTGTGTTAGTCCTTATTGATATCTATATGATTTCTCCCTCTATTTTGTTCTTGTTATTATTAATTGTTGTAGTTTTTCCTACATAATATCTTAGTTGATCTGAATAATATACGACCAATTAGCTAGTTATGACATTAATTATTAGTGCTTTATCTTTCCCCTCTCTTTTATTCCAGTTATTACAATGATTTTTTCTATGAATTAGATTAGTTGGGTAGAGACTAGAGACTTAGGGCTATTTAATTTTTTATTTCGCTATAACTTTCAATATCATTTAGACTTTTAACTTTCTTTTGTATCGCAAAACAAATATTGATTTGATTATTATTTATACTCTTGCCAAGTCAATATTATATATATGTGTATGTACGCGCACATATTTTATCATATATGGTTATCATTAGTAATACCAAAACGGCCCCCTATGGTTAAATCCTGGCTGTCCCTGAGAGTGAAACGGTGACAACAGAAAAAATAGGGCCCCCTCTAGAGCCCCTAGGAATGAGGGCTTGAGGATGGAATTTAAGGGACTCCTACTTTTAAGGGTTTGAGTAGGGGCCCTGCCGGAGTTTGCTAAAGTTGCTCTTAATGTGTTTATTTGGCAAAAATGAAAAAAAAATTACCCAATACTCCCTCTGTCCCAAAATAGAAATCGTTCTCGCTTCCCGAGAAGTCAACTTTTTTTAACTATGACCAATTATATATAAAATAATATTAATATTTATAATACATAATTAGTATCAATAGATAGATCATTGAATATACTTTCATAATAAATTTATTTGGAGATATAAATGTTGCACGCATTTTCTACAAACCTAGTCAATGTTGAGAAAGTTTGACCTGCACGCATCCCATAACGACTTTATCATGGGACAGAGGGAGTAGTCTTGTATCCCCCTACTTCCCCTCATCTCAAAAATATGTGTATGATTTGCTATTTGCCTAAGACCCATTTGAAAGCTCTAGTTTGGTTTTGGTGATTTGATGAAACCCTAGGTGCTAACCTTTGGCTCTAAGTGTGTATGAGATAGGTTAGCACAATCCAAGTGAATGAAGATCATGATGGTGGTGGAGGCCATGGTGATGATCAAGTGCTCAAAGCTTGAAAAAGAAGAAAGAGAAAAACAAAAAGGCTCAGGACAAAGGTATATTTGATAGGAGTTTTTTGTTTTGGCACTCAAGACACCAAGTCGGTGTGAGTGTGTTTAGGATAGATAGCCATACTATTAAGAGGGGTGAAACTCATCGTGAAATACGGTTATCAAAGTGCCACTAGCTGTTCTAATTCATTGCATATGCATTTAGATTCTAGTGAGTGCTAACGCCCTTGAAAATATTTGTGAAAAGTTGCTAACACATATGCACAAGGTGATACACTTGGTGGTTAGCACATTTGAGCAAGGGTGGAGAAGTTGGAGATGAAAAGGAGGAGTTGTGCAGGGACCAGACTCTGACCCACATTCGGTCAGTGGCGCACAGAGAAGAGCGCGTCCTCTGTCTATGACCGGATGCTGGAAGCAGGAGAGGACCGAACGCGTAGGGCCTATGTCCGATCAGTGCTGACGTATGCTGACATACGCTGATGTGAAGCTAGCAGCTGAGGCAGAGAGGAACGGACCCTGGGGTGCGTCCGGTCACCCCTAAGTGGACACATCCAGTCTTGAAAACCCAGCTCTGGATGCTTATTGGAAGTGACCGAACTCCAAGTTATGGAGCATCCGGTCATTCCTTCTATGAGTCCGGTCATGGCTGTCTGGCTACGCGGGCGCGCTCG